CATGGTAGTGGGAGCGGGGAGGAAACCTTTAGGAACTAGAGGAAGGTTGTATTTCTCATCATTGTTACATCGCACCCTGACTGGCTCATCTCCTCCCCGGCCCAGGACAGAAATCTTTATGGAGCAGAAAGCCTCATCTTTTCTTTTCTGCAACAGTTGGTAGGTTCAAACTCCTGACCTTGAGTTGGCAGCTCAACCTGTAACTCACATTAACACAAAGCTAAAACCAAAGTGCAATTGAGGTGATTCTGACAGGATAGAACTGCCCTGTGGGTTCCCAAGACTGACTGTTCTGGGAGTAGAAAGTCCTCTCACTCTCCAAGCAGCTGGTGGATTTAAACTGCTGACCTGGTAACCCAAGAAGTCACTAAAATGCAAAAACCAAACTCGATGCCATCAATTCCAACTCAGAGCGACCCTATAGGACTGGGTAGAAGTCCCCGTGTAGGGTTTTTAAGATGGGAGTAGAAAGCCTCCTCTTTTCTCCTGAGGCTGGTGGTTCTGCAGTTAGTAATCCAATGTGTTATCTGCCGGGCCACCAGGACTCCACAGTCAGGGTACATGTGCACACATGCCACATGCTATATGTGTCTAAGATTAATGATCCTAGCCTTGATCTTGGTGGTAGCAAACTACTGGAAAACTAAATGTTCATCAGTTGGTTCCGGGTTAAGGAAATGACCACAGAATCAGAGAACAGAATAAAATGCCATTGTGGTTCTGCTTGCTTTGGACCTGGCATCAGCAAAGGCCAGAAATGTGTCAGCGGAGAGAGGGGGAACCCCTTGATGACATCAGTGAACGCAGCAGCGTGCATCACAGTTCAAGGGCACCAGCAACTGTGAGGTTAGGGCAGGCCTGGGTGGCTCTCTTCGGTATCCATCAGGCTGCCAGAGTCAGATGACAACTGACAACGAGAGATGAGGAAATGCACTAGTTTGGAAGGACCTTCTGGTACATTCACACGGAAACAAACAGCATAGAAATCAGGAAATACAGAGTTTGTGGGAAGAAATGGACAAGATCACAAGGAATAGCGATGCACGTTTTGAAGCGCGGGTTTTGAAGCCCCCATTTATGTCGACTTTGGTGAAGACATTTAAAATCATAGCTTTGTGGATTTATATTTGCTTGTAGGTACCATCAGGGAGGTGAGGAAGGGCAGCCCAGTAAGTGTGGTTACCCATGGTGGTTGTGGCAGGTACTGGGGACCCTGCGTGCGTGTGTGTGTGTGTGTGTGTGTGTGTGTGTGTGTGTGTTTGTGAATAGCTAGATTTACCAAAGCACATAAAAATGCCAATGAGTGGGCAAATCAATGCCAGAAATTGCAGCAATTCTTGAAAACACCCTCGATCATGTAATACACTATGCTAGCCATGCAAAATGCTCCAGAAACCACAAAACCAACTTTCCACGAAAACCTGTTGCATCTGAGCTGAAGAGGAAGCACATTCTACACAATTCAAGCTCTCACTACCATCTTAGTAACAGCAGCAACACTTTATTCCCATCCTTGTTATTTGATCCCTTCTCCCAGGATCATGGACTCTTACATTGATCGGGTTTTCTTCAAGCTTTCACTTTACAAAAGCTTTTTGGTTTTTTGGGTGCAATTTCAAAAGCGATGCAGGAACAAGAATCTGGATCAATCGCCAACTCCAGGTGGGTGCAATGTTTTCTGTTTCCTCTCTGTTTTTCCCCTGGTGACTTCCTTTGCTCTCAGCCTGTCCCCAAAGTGCACTGCCTGAATCTCCCATCCTTGGGATTCCAAAAACAAAGCCAAGTGATTGGATTGGCAGACGACTCAGGGGCGGGGAGGGCTTCTTGAAGTCGGTCCATTACTTGACTAGCCTCTGTTGATGAACTTATCGCAACCTAGTTCTTCGATCAAGGGATTGATGACCTCAGAGGCGGTCAGAGCGATGGTAAACGTTAAAGGATCAAAATCCATCCTCCGAGCGTTTCGCAGATCACCAGCGGCGAACGCCGCTTGCCTCGCCCTTAGGGCCTCCGCGAACCGGCGGCGGCGGCGTCCTTCCAGCTCCTGCAACCGGCCAGGCCCAGCCCGGTAATTTTCCAGAAAGCGACGGAGGTACTGCTGGTAATTGACCCCCAAGAGGCGCAGAGGGTGGCGGAGGTGGAAGTGCGGCAGCGTGCCCGGCCCGTTCCTGGGTCTGGCCCTGGGTCTGCTCTCGGGACCCTCTTCCTCCGCCGGCTCCTGCATCAAGCCGGCCACCGCGGCCATCCGGCCTTCCCCGGCCATCTCCACCGGCCCTTCCCCGGCCATCTCCACCGGGCGTCCTCGGGCCTCAGCCAGCGGACCTTCCCGGGCGGGCTCCCGCCTCCCACCGCCTACCTCCGCCTGCGGAGCGTCGCTGTCGCCACCCGCTGCGTCCGCCAGCGGGGCACAGCCATCTGGGGGCAGTTGAGACATCTCGGACGTCGGGGTCAGCTCGGCCGCTGCCAGCAGAAAACGGCAACAACGGGACAGCGCGAAGGAGGCCGCGCGCGTTAAGTGGGTGCGTGCGCGTGCGTGCGTGCGCGCGCGCCCCCTCGCGTCCGTTGGGCGAGCGCGGTGCGAGCCTGAAAGCCCGGAGTTGGCGTCGGTTCTGAACGGGGCCAGGAGCGCGCTGAGACTCCAGGTGCCCCCTAGCGGCCGAAAGCGCTAACATCGGAAAACACCACTACTGAACGTCAGCCAAGGGCCAGATGCCATATTTTCCATCTGACCGTTTTGATGGTATCTTTTCTGGGTGGTACCGTGTCACCATACTTACTCAATCTGGGTGCTGAGCAAATCCCAGAAGCTGAATTATATGAACAAGAAAGTGGCCCCAGGATGGAAGATTCACTAATAGCCTCCCGTATGTAGATGGCACAACCTTGCTTGCTGAAAGCGTAGAAGTCTTGAAGCACGTACTGATGGATTAGTCTTCAAAATCCTCACCAGTGAACCAAGAATTATGATAAAAGGAGAAAAGAATGACGTTGTGGAGGACTTAATTTTACTTGGATCCACAATCACTGCCTATGGAAGAAGCAGCAGTCAAGAAATCAAACAATGACTACACTGGGCAAATCTTTAAACTTTTTGTGTGTGAATTAGGTGAAGGTTTATACAGCAGATCATAGTTTTACATTTAATAATTTATACACCTTCTGACTAAACTCATCCGTTGAATCCCCTCAGTGTAAGCTTCCTTATTCCACTTCCACTGTTTCCTTTTTCTGTTCTTTCTAAATAACCCTCTGAATTTTGACCTTGGGTAAATGCTGCCCTTTGATCTTAAATGGTCGAGTATTCTAACAAGGAGGTGAGTTTCCATCCAGACCTGAAGGGTACGGGCCATGATCTTGGGGGCCCACCAGTCTCCATCTGACCAGTCAGGCTGTTCTCCTCATTTTAGTTCTGTACCACAATGGTCTCCCACTCTATCCAGGACCTTCTAATGGAATCTTTTTCAGGGTAGCCAAGCAGCATCTAGTTTTTCTGGTCTCCGAGTTGTGGAGACTGGTGTTTGTGTGGCCTGTAAGTCCATTGGGCTAATTATTTCCACGTCTTTCCATTTTTTAAAAAACATTTTATTAGGGGCTCATACAACTGTTATCGCAATCCATACACACATCAATTGTGTAAAGCGCATTTGTACATCATTCTCAAAACATTTTCTCTCCACTTAAACCCCCGACATTAGGTCCTCATTTTTCCCCTCCCTCCCCGCTCCCACCTCCCTCATGAGCCCTTGATAGTTTATAAATTGGTATTTTGTCATATCTTGCCCTGTCCGACATCTCCCTTTACCCACTTTTCGGTTGTCTGTCCCCCAGGGAGGAGGTCACATATAGTTCCTTGTAATCGGTTCCCTCTCCTCTGGATGGAAAGAGACTGATAGTTGCACCCTAGATGGCTGTTTAAGACCCTCGTTATTACTCCCCAGTGTAGGGTATTGTGTTAGTCTGGGTAGACTAGAGAAACAAATTGATGGATACTCTGTGTATAAGAAATAGGTTTATATGTAAGAACAAATGAATATTGAGAAAACATCCCAGCCCAGTCCAGATCAAGTCCATAAGTCTGATAACAGCCCTTATGTCTGATACCAATCTATAAAGTCTTCCTCTGACTCACGAAATACATGCAATGATGCCAAATGCAGGAATATCACAGGCCAGTGGGTTGGAAGTCTTGTGGATCCAGTGGCATTGTAAGCATCTTAGCGCTGGCAGGGGTCTCCATGTGGCTTCTCCAGCTCAGGGCACTAATATAGTTCTGTTGTCTTGTCAGCTGCTGTGTCTCCCAGGGTGTGAGCAAAGAGAGAGTGTGTCTCCTGCCTCCAAGGAGGAAATACAGGAGTTCCCAGAATCCTCAGAAGGCCATGTCCACACAGAGGCCTCATTGGCTAGGACCCGATTGACAATCCTCTCAAGTCTCAAATTGACACCAGATTATGTAACTACCATAGATGTAGAACCCGGTCTTTGTGAACTAAGTTATACCAACTACCTTCATGTCCTGGTCAATGGCCAGGAATTCATTCCCTCAAGGTGCCTGCTTATGTCTAAGAAGTTCTTGAAACTTTGTTCCCTATATAGTTGCGGCAAAAGGAAATAGATATTGTGGGATACAGAAAGATTTTAACCCCAGGTTGTCACCTGCTTGCCAGCATATTGTGTGGTCAGCTGCTTAGAAGTTTTCTCTCTGAAGGCATCAGCCATCCAGAGCAATCAGACTATTGTCTGTCCCACCATAGGTGGGGTTCATACACTACTGATAAAGATAGTGATGGTTTCCCTGGAGAGCCCAGAGAAAGGGTCAAGCCCACTCAATGAGCAAGACCAAGGTTAGGATGCCATCCTGAATCTACGGTCCGCCCATCTTGTCACATGTGTACCCCTAATCCTTCCTCTTCCTATTGCGTGTGCATCCCTAGATCATCTCCCTGTATTGCCTATGGTACACCCCCTTCCTGTGACGTATGTGGTTACCTGTAATCAGGGTGACTTGCACACCTTTAAGTATATATAAGCCTTGGTTAGAAATATACTCCCCCCCCCCCCCCTGCCTCTCCTCCTGCTCTCTGCGTGGACCTGGCTGCTGAGATCATGGCCATGGTCTAGGAGGTGAGCATGCTACCATGAAATGTGTCTGACTCCTTTATTTTATCTTCTCTCCTACCTTCCCTATTCTATAATCTTTATATAATATCGCCATACAATTGTGCCTATGGATCCCCCCCCCCCCCCGATTGTCAGAGGCTAGTTACTCTGACAAAATAACCTCTGTCAAATATATATTTGTAGGTATATATTCCCACTGTCCTGCTACCATCTGTTTGGCCTGCTTGTCCAAGAATCTACTAGTAGTATGAGGGAGAAAACTCAAGTATTGTTTCTCAAGAAGACCTGTGTGTGTGTGTGTTCAAAATAACCCAATAAAGACAGGAAAATCGGTAGTGGGGTCCACCGAGAGAGTCACGAGGGGATGTTCTCAGGATGACGCCTGCACAGGGGAGATGGAAGGGGCCTAGGGCACAGGCTGGTCAGAGTCCGGGAAGGGCAGAGGTGCCATACGGTACCGTTTGGAGAACAGATTCAAGCGAGTATCTGAGGTGTTGGCATTTGGGGCAAAGTGCAACTGAACAGTCCACAGTCAGCTTGGATGGTGCAGGGAGTTCAAAATTAAGGCAAGAGGGCCCTGATGGAAGAGGTCAAACAGAAGAGGAAATGATGAACTCTTCAACCTTAAGAGGTTTCTGTGAAATGATTCACTACGCTGGTATGAACCGCTAGGCAGTGAAAAACATTTACATAAGCCAGAGGAAAATAAACGGACATAGATTTAATGAAGTTGTTCAGACTGGCCGGTGGGCCTTCTGGAAGTAATGCCTTCCTTGAGCACGTTTCCTAAGCGGAAATGGCGTAAAGCGAAGAAGCGAGCCATGGTCGTCAGCTTATATGGTACACTTTTCCCAGCTTTCTGGGAAAACCAACCCAACCCCATGCCAGAGGACACCAGCGAATACATACAACCTCACAAAAGCACAGGTTGACAGGCCGAGCACGCTTCCGGGGTGGGGCCTGGAGGCGCCACAAGGCTGATAGGCTGAGGCTGGCTTCCGGGGGCGGAGCCTGGAGGCGCCACGAGGCTGATAGGCCAAGCTTGGCTTCCGGGGGCGGGGCCTGGAGGCGCCACTTTGGCAGCTGCGCATGCGCTGATGGAGCCACAGGGGCAAAGCCACCCGGAAGCTAATTTTCGATGAAGCGACCACTCTCCTCAGATGTCTTCCAATGAGAGAAAGCAGGTACTCATGTAGGTGTCCTTGTTTTAGTGATTATTATTTTTTTGATGAAATTTTAAACTTGTGAATGAGGTGTGAAGGGTGTTTCACATTTCAGACCTTCGACTTTGGCCTTCAAGTTCTTTCAACCCCCTCATCCACATCCATTTCACAAATGTCGGACTTTGTGAACAGCAAAGCAGTCAGAAAGCCAACTTGCAGAACGCAGGGATGCCTGTGTACTGCATGGGGAGGTGGTAGGGCATCTAATCGAGGGATGGGGGCCACGAGTCTGACGTCATCACATGCCAAAATGACAGCGAGGACTGTAGGTTCGCTGGCTGGTTTAATTCATATTCGTGGGAGTTCATTAGGAGACCACGTGGGGCTGGGAACCGATTACAAGGAACTATATGTGACCTCCTCCAGGGGGACGGACAACAGAAAAGTGGGTGAAGGGAGACGTCGGACAGGGCAAGCTATGACAAAATAACAATTTATAAACTATCAAGGGCTCGTGAGGGAGTGGGGAGCGGGGAGGGAGGGGAAAATGAGGACCTAATGCCGGGGGTTTAAGTGGAGAGAAAATGCTTTGAGAATGATGAGGGCAATGAATGTACAAATGCGCTTTACACAATTGATGTGTGTATGGATTGTGATGAGTTTTATGAGCCCCTAATAAAATGATTTAAAAAAAAAAAAAAGGGAGACCCCGTGGGGCCAGGTTCAGAAGATCCAGTTACGTGGTTCAATAGGGACTGGGGTAGGTTGGGGGGAAAAGAGCTTCCCCAGTCTGAAAATGTGCCACTATCCATCAGGTTTTCAGCCAGCCCTCCGAGGTGGGCCGCCTGTTCTGTGAGGTCGCCGGATAGGGAGTTGTCCCTCCCTATGCGAAGGCGCCCCTACAGGAGGTTGCTGCAGAGAATCAGGCGATCCCCGCCAGCCATCAAGGCCAGAGAGCATACACCAATTCAGCCTTTGAGACAGGAAGCCAGTACACTTGGGAGGACCAGGGTAGGCTAGGTGACCTTAATTCAGCCAATCTAGGCCAGGTGACTGTAATTCAGCCAATGGGGTCAACCAGGACCATTGACCTCACCTCCCAGCGTAGAACCAGGAGCCCCATGCCCTCTTTTCCAGCTGCGGTTTCTCAGGCCTCAGGTTTCCACACATTTCGGGGTGAATGCTTTCTCTTGGGAAGCCAAGGACAGAGTTATTGGGCTGTGCAATAGACATAGGTGCGACAGGAAGGGGCCGAGCTAGGGGTGTACACACAATTGGAAGAGGAGGAACTAGGGATACACATGTGACAAGATGGGTGGACCCTAGATTCAAGATGGCAGCCTAACCTTGATCCTCATTGAGTTGGCTTGACCTTGTCTTTGGGCTCTCCTTCAGGGGTATAATCCACCATCCTTATCAGCAGGGAGTGGGTCCCACCTAGGGTGGGACAGATAATAGGGACTGATTGCTCTAGATGGTTGATACTCTATGGGAGATCACCTCTAAGCAGCTGACCTCCCAGTGTCTAATAGACATCATATAATATGGGGGGACAACCTGGGGAAAAACCTTTCTGTATCCCACAGTTATGTTCGAGCCCCTTAGTGCAGTCATTGTGTCAATCCATCTCTTCGAGGGTCTTCCTTTTTATTGTTGACCTTATGTTAAGTATGAGAGCCTTCACTAGGGACTGGCCTCTCCTGGTAACCTGTCCAAACCATGTGAGTGGAAGTCTTGCCATCCTCATTTCTAAGGAGCATTCTGGTTCTACTTCTTCCAAGACAGATCAAGAACCTTTAGAGTGGCAGAGCCTAAAGTCCTAGAACATTCGGTCTGAGTCCAGGGCTGGATAGAAACCAGGTTGGAAGTACCCAGTTACAAACATAATACTGGGTGATTCTTCCCTTGGTGTGTGTGTGTGTGTGTGTGTGTGTGTGTATAGAAGCCATCTTTAGTGTTTTTCTCACTGGCAGGTTGCCCTACCTGGTTTTTCCACCAACAGAGGTATAACCACTTTCTCAAAGACAGCTGCCCCACCTCCTTCCGCCAACCTCTGGGCTTGAATTTCCATTAAGGTTTACTGAGCACCCTTGTAGGGGTGTCTGTTGATTTGAGGTGACCAAGGAACATGGTTCTATGACAGGAACTGATTGTTTTTCTCCTTGTCTCCCCAACCTGAGAAGCTAACTCAAGCTGGGGTGAGGCCTTCTGTTGAAGTGGTTATTAAGACGTACAAATGAGGGGTTGATATGTGGATCGTGAGCAGTAGGCAGGCATACCACCTTGTTGCTTGGGAGATGGGATTAGATTATATGACCTGAGAGCAGATGCCTGCCTGTGGCTTGTTCCGGGGTCTTAAAGGCTTGTCCTAGCACAGGCAGCCATCTAAGTGAGGTGACTACTAAGTTCACAAGGAAGAAGTATCTCAGCCTGTGTGATACAAGGATTGTGAATAATGAAACCCAAGACTGGAGGAGGGAACAGTATCAGAGCTTAAATTAAATTTGCAGAAGGCTGTGGATGGCAGTGAAAACCCCAAGTCCATTTTTAGGGTCCCCACTTGGATGAAGCCTCCAGTAAATCCTCTCTGACTATTGACCAGTGATGTGAATAACCAAACCATCACACAGCGTGCCTTAGAAACTGGATGGATGCAGATGAAGTTAGGTTAAAATGTAATACCTTTGACCCATTTCAAATTTGTTCAAGTTTGTATTCTTTCCAGTTATCGTTTGCGCTGAAGTTTTTCTGTTTTGTTATTGTCGTTGAGGTTTTTTTTTACTTTTGCTTTTGTATTTGTTTTTCTGTTACCAGTTCTATTGGCACGTAATCCACCTATCACAATTCAATAGTTAATCATAACAAGAATTGTACCATCAATACCACAATGGATTTCAGAACGTCTTCTCTCCAATGATGAAATCACCTTGAAAATGAGTCGTGTAATCGCCGTCAGTGCCAGTGCTCACCCCCATCCCAGCTTCGTATGTTTTTCTTTATATGATATCCAGGACACGTAGATTTATAGAGCCAGTAGCCAGAGTAATAGTTTCTTGGCGTTATGGCAGAGAGACTGCAGGGAAATGGGGAGCTCACAATAATGAGTACAAGAAAGAAGAAATTGTTCTAAAGTTGATTATGACAATGATTGCATAACTCTTTTAAAAACGTTTTAAACTGTTGAGTTGTATGATGTTAATTATATGTCAATCGGAGAGTGTTAAAATGAAAGACGCTTTGAAATAAAAAGTCTGAGTATCTTTGATGGGTTGGGTTGGGCAAGCATTCAACTAGAGCAGCCGTTCTCAACCTGTGGGTCGTGACCCCTTTGGGGGTTGAAGGACCCTTTCACAGAGGTCGCCTGATTCATAACCGTAGCAAAATGACAGTGCTGAAGTAGCCACAAAACTAATTTTATGGCCGGGGGTCACCACAACGTGAGGAACTGTATGAAAGGGTCGTGGCATTAGGAAGGTTGAGAACCACTGAACTAGAGGAAGCCACTGCAGTAGAAAGGTCAGCTTTAGGAGAGGCGGGGGAGCAGGATTCTGAGCAGACCCCCTTCCCCCCGGGTCAGGGGAGGCAGTGATGGGCACTGGGGACAAGGCAGTGGAGTTGGGAGGGGGACGAGTTGGAAAGGCAACCATGAGTGACTGCTGTTCATCAGTGGGTTTGCCCTGGTTCTTGGTCTTGGACTAAGAGTCACTCTACAAGAAAGCCTGCCTTGCCCAGTATTTGAACCTAAGCTCCTCCGTTGTGAATGGTGGTTTCCCTGCTCTCGTGGATGCTGAACAAGGCATTGGGTGGGACAATTTTAGAATGCGCAGTCATCCTTCCGCACCTTGAACCGAGAAACAAACGCACTTTTCCCAATCTGGGCTTCCATCTTTCCAAGAGCGACATGGTACTGTCGCCCCTTCTTGGAGTCGTGTGTGACAAACTATGACTTCTCTTCCTGGCTTTCTTGATGGAGTGGAGGGTCAGTAAGTATTGGGGTCCAAGATGGTGAGCATACTGCCTCTGTGGGTTTGATGGTGGCAGCACAGACTCACACCTGGGCTCCACCAGTTTAGATCCAGCCCCCCCACCCCCCCCACACACAAATACCGCTACTCCGGCAGTTGGGGCAGGCCCAAACCCCAGTGCTCAATGCAGGCACCTCAACGTCCACCCCAACCCCTCTTTCTCTCACACTGCACATCGTGCCCGCTCGGCGACCCTTGGACTCCGCTTTCATTAAGCAACCATCAGTTGACCCCAACAAACCGCTTGCCGGTTCATTGCGGACACAGGCAGTTGTGTTTACTGCAGAATGTCTGGCTTCGAGTAAATGACCACTAGTTCTTGGCTTAGTCCACATGGCCGCCTCTTCCTGTAACTGATTTCTGACACACAAACGACATTTCTCAGAAGCCAGCGGTGAGTGGAGAAGTCAACTCTGTCTAGGAGACATCCTTGATTTTTCAGACTCTGTTCATAGCTTTGTGAGCAGGAGGGGTCAGAGCGAAACTGAAGCAGAGCCCCCATGGGGCTCACAGGCGCCGTGTGCAAAGGAAGTTCAAGCCCAGGAGAGCACAGTTAGCACAGGCAGGCTGTCGCCAGGGGCATATAGTGTTAACTCCCATGCCAGCCTTTGCTCTGAGTACTAATTAAGGGGAGGTTCTGCAAGCCATCTTTCCATCAATATTTCTGACATTTTTTTAAAAGCCTCTTGTGGTTGCCCAATATGAAGAATGTAATCATTGTGGCTGAGTTTTACGTGTCAGATTTATTGACTCAGTGAATTCTGCTGTATATATTTTCTTTTAAAAAATCATTTTATTAGGGACTCATACAACTCTTAATCACAATCCATGCATATATCAATTGTGTAAAGCACATTTGTACATTCATTGCCCTCATCATTCTCAAAACATTTGCTCTCCACTTAAGCCCCTGGCATCAGCTCCTCATTTTTTCCCCTCCCTCCCCGCGCCTTCCTCCCTCATGAACCCTTGATAATTTATAAATTATTATTTTGTCATATCTTGCACTGTCCGATGTCTCCCTTCACCCACTTTCCTGTTGTCCGTCCCCCAGGGAGGAGGTTATATGCAGATCCTTGTAATCGGTTCCCCTGTGTATATTTTCATCACAAGAAAAAGACCGCCTCTCAACACGATAGAAGAGCCATACATGGAAGAAATTGGGATACTATGTGAATAGGCTTATCCACAGGAGAAAGAAAAAATGTCAAGAGTCTGAAAGTACGTGCTGTCTCACTAGAAACGAGGAAACCACAAAACAACAACACTGATGCTTGCCACGTAATCAAGAGGACAGACA